TGGACAGCCGAGGTGATCGTTTGATCGGCAGGAAGGCCGACCACAGGAGGTACCCCGAGCTAGGCTTTGTCGAGATGCCGCCTAGCCCGGTCTTCCTTGGGCTTAGCCAGTGAAGTGCTCGGGAATGAAGCACAGCACGGCCGAGGATAGAGAAGCTCGGCTGCCGAGCTCCAGCTGAGAAGGCAGGCAGTTGAGATTAGGTGATGTTCAGCAAGGTTTATGCTGACAGATGGGATAGCGGAGCCACGTGTCAGGAGATGACTGGGAGTGGATATGGGGCGCAGAAGGTATACAAGCATGTTTGCGCCCCCCATACGGACAGACGAACATTCTGTAAGGAAATTCTTACACTCAAACACTCCTCTCTCTCTCTCTCTCTCTCTATCCTAAGGTGTGTGCTAACTTGATCGTCGAAGGGTTTTTTCGGCCACACACCGCCGGGCAGCTCATCGTTATTTGCTCGCAGGTGATCGGACAGAAACGGAGCTCAGAAGAAAGGAGTACGGGCTTGCCGGAATATTTGCTCCCCGTACACCTGGAGTATCCAGTGGGCGGAACTCAAAAACCTTGCAACTCCCAAAATGAAGGCATAATGTGCTGTAAATGGTTCAATGATCTGCATAGATTTAAAAAGCAATTAAGCTATAAAGGCATATGAATACGTCATGGTGCTTTTCCTTGAAATGACAAAAGCAATCCCAATGGCAGTGAAGAAACAATGGCGTGCAACTGGTAAAGCAAGCTATAAAACCATCCATATCAGCTCATAAAACTCGAAGTTTATCAATGAACTACAAATGCACCAAACAATTTTCAATACTCGTATACATATATGTAACAGTTTTGCCTCATATTATTACCTTTGCTTTCTACATGACACGTAGTTGAGGTAGTATGGAAACAGCTTCCACATAAACACAATTTGTCTTGTTGAAAATATGATGCGGGTGTCAATAGATGAATAACTACATATAATAGAGCACAAGGTATAGCCAAATCACAAAACAATATCAATAATTAAAGGTTAAATCAACTTAAATAGGTTACTAAAAACCAAGACAGTTACATCACAAGCGAATATTGTCCTTTTAATATATACATGGTGATATATCGCACCTCAATTGCAAACAAATCAAAGTATTTGACTTAACCTTGGACTAAATGGAAGAACTTTTCAAACTAGTTGATAGTTGTTCGCTGGCTGCACCCCAAAATGGGTAATAAATTACTAAATCACATGTAGAGTTTTGGGGGCAGAATTGCCTCCCGTGTGAGGTCAGGTCAGGTGATGGTCAACAACTCAAAGAATAAAATGAAACAACATTCCCCCTCTTTCCTCAGCTAAAAACTCTGTTGCTGTTTGTCAAGCATGTGGAAGAACAAGAAATACTAAAATTATGGAGAAACTGAGAATTTGGTATCTGTAGCTGTGAGAATGAGGCATGTAACACCTGACTCTGCACATGTAAAGTAAAGAAAGATGTAATTTCAATGAGGAGTTTTGGTCCTGTATACTCTTGAAATTTATATAGAAATTGTTTCCTGTACATGCTTTAATGTATGAAATTATGACAGATGAAATCGTCTTATCGGTTGTATACTTTTCCATGGATAAGTTCACCTAAAAAAAAAAAAACCAAGGACGTGTTCAGACATTGAGCTCTGCAGTTGTGCATACTTTGGGATTCCATAAATACGAAGTCCTGCAAAAATTTCTACTAAATAACTACAATTACTAGCTGGTTGAGAAGGAACAAAGTTAATATAATTAGTCTAATACAGTGCAACTGAGTAAGATCAAAGAAAACTAGGCGATATCCTCCATTGAATTATCATATTTCGCAGCTCTCGGACATTAATCAAAATCAATTTAAAAATTAAAACAACACGATATTGAGAGAGCAAAGACAAATCTTCATTTGAAGTATCGAACAACAATAAAAATGAAAAAAAATAAAAAAATAAAAAAAATTACCAGCACAAGTAGGGATGTAATCGGTTCGGTACGGTCGGTATTTAGGTAAAAATTACACCGAATTGATAATGTCGGTTTTATTATTTTGAATACCGATACAGACCGCTTCTCACATCAAACCGCACTGAACCGAACCAATTGAAACAGTTCAGTTTGGTGCGGTTTAATCGGTTTAAAATTTTTTAAACTTGAGCCATTTTTAAATATAATAATTAATTTATATAAAAATATTAAATTAGTTATTTGTCTACCATTTCAAACATATCCAATTCATTGAGTGTGTTTTCATGTGAGTTGTAGAATTGGAACTTTAAAACTGTATTTGATTCAAGAGTTTAAAGAAAAATTTAAAAATAAATAAATAAATAAAAACTAAAATAAAAAAAATGTGATACTGAATAAAAATATAAAAATATATTTTATCATCATTTTCATTTGAATAATGTTAAGAATTTCAAATATATTATTAAATATTTTATATGAATGTAAGATCCACATAAAATTCCTATGATATAACTCTCATATTCATATAAAATATTTAATAAAATATTTCGAGTCGCCAACATTTTTCTTTTTATTTTGTCTTTATAATGGTCTTATTTGGTAGAGTTGTGGGAAAGTGCTTATAGCTTATGCCTTAACAGCTTATAGCTTATAACTATGAACATAAGCTGATTTCTGACTTATAAATTAAGCTTCTCCTCCCCCACTCAAAGAATAAGCTAATTTCTGACTTACAAAAAGTTATAAGCTGCATTGTTAAGCTAAACCAAACACATCAAAATAGCTTAAATTAAGCTGAAAGCTGAAATAAGCTGAAAAAAAGCTGTACCAAACAGTGCCTATATGTTGAAGCGGTCGGTTTCGGTTTAGATCGGTGCACAAGGTGCTTAAACCGATACCGAACCGAAATCCAAAAAAATTCGAATTTAAAAACCGCACAGACCAATTCTTGTTAAAAAACAAACCAAATATAGCCGGTTTGGCCCGGTTCAATTGGTTTGGTCGATTTTTTCAATTTTTTTTACATCCCTAAGCAGAAGTATTCTCTTTGGTGAGTTTGTACATAAGAACGGAAATGCCAATGGCATGAACGGACTCGGCAACAACAAAGAGGTTGCGCCTTATAGACAAGCCTGGTCCGTCTCGGGTTTGGAATCTCATTTAAGGCTGGGCATAGAGGGGTGTCAACAGGAGTTATTCAAAGTCTGTCGGCCTAGGCTGGGCTTGGCTGATGAATTGGGCTGGCCACCACTAGATGAGAAATTCTATTTGTACTCCAAAAATTATTAAACATGTCTAATTTTTCAATATATTCTATTAAATTATTTAAAATTATGATTTATTCTTAATACACTTATATTGTTTTCCAAATACGTCTAAATAATAAACAAATCAAAAATTCTAAATTATACCACTTTAAATACACCATATGTTCTTGAAGAATGGAAAGACTGAGGGGAGATTGTAGGACTTCTTTGTATGTGTAATAACATATATGTTACTGAGCAACGACTATAATTTCGCAAATCATAGTATATACATTTAGCATTATGCCAACCCACCATCTAGCAACATAATATAGAAATATGTACAATTAATTCAAACATTATTAGGAACAAATCGATTCTGATTTCTAGTGATGAAGATGATGATGATGGTGATGAAAAGGGGTTGAATCAAATAGAAATTATAGTGGGTTGGTGAAAAAACTTTAACAACAATAGATCTTATATGGTATAAGACTTTACAAATTAAATAAGATATTAATTGAAATTTTAATCAAAAGGGAAGGAATTTACCATTCTTCCATAAATCCTAAAACTCTCTTATTAAATGGATATAAGTAATTAAAGTGTATTATAACAAATGAAGTTTTATTTCATAATTTAATGTATATAATCTTTATTAATAAATTTATATTAAAATATAATAAAAATTAAAATTTCGAAATTTTAGTAATTACTATGTGTGCAAATAGAATCACGCCACGAGACCGCCAAAAGGTTTTGGGTCATTACTCTTACCCGTATATGATGGTTCTACAAAATTCCTTAGTGGGTTGTGAGGCCTCGTTTGAAAAGTGATCGGTTTAGTGAAAAAGTCAAAAAATTATTAAAAATCTAAAAGGTTTAAGATTTTTTTTTCTCTTTATTTTTTATACAATTTTTAATTTGTAATCCTAAATATATTAATTTTTAATAGGGCTGAGCAAGCAATCCGTAAAATCCGTAATCCGATCCAGTCCAGTCCAATCCGATAGGTTTGGATTGGTTTTTTGAATCCGCGGTTCGGTTCCGGATTGAAGAATTAAAAATCCGTAGTCTACGAATTGGTTCCGGATTGAACCCCACGGTTCCGGATTGGAACCGATCCGAACCGTATACAAATAGTCTATATTTTTATTATACATTTTCCCCCATAGTATATTCTCTTAATTCTATATAAAATCTAAACTCAAACCTAAAACCATATAATATCTTCTTTTATTACTCTTGTTTGTTGGTTTTTAGTTTTAATTTGTAATGGTTTAAATATTTATAGTGAAACCAATTTTCTTATGGTTGTTTAAATTTTAGAATAGTATGTCGCTATTATAGAAAAATATGTTGCTATTGTGGAACTAATATAGCGCTGTTTATATTTTTATAAAATTAAAGTGTTATAAATATATTTTGGTTATTTAATTATGTGAATCCGTGGTCCTAAACCGATCCAATCCGTATTTAAATGGATTGGTTCGGATTGGTTCCATGATTTAAACGGATTGGATTGGTTTCAATATTTTAAGAACCGTAGAAAACGGATTGGTCCTGGTTTTATTCCAATCCGGTCCAATCCGGACCATGCTCACCCCTAATTTTTAATACATCAAATTTTAACCAAAAAGTTACTTAAAAAACGCCTGTGACCAAACGATGCCCTTTTTTTTTGAATTCAACGGTCACAATCGCCACTTCTCCTCTTACCCTCCGAAAGATCTGAAACCCTAGTTTCCATGTACAGTTCTAACATGGGCGCAACGTGGGCGCTCTAAAAGGCTCGAATGTCTCTTCCAATCGTCGACAATGGCAGAAAGTTTTCAACGCTCTCACACACTTGTTACGAAGACAACAAATACAGATTGAGTCTCTCGCAAAAGAGAGACAATTTCTCGAAGATCGGATTAAATTGCAGTACGGTCGGTGGGTCTTTGATGTCAATCAATTGCAAGACCAAATCTATCTGGTAACCCCTCAATATCTTCGGATTTTTAATGTTGGGTTTTTGTTATTTTAGGGTTTCTTTGATTTTTGATTTTTGATTTAGTTTTAATTTTTTATTTCTTTTTATAAAGATGAATAGGGATTTTACAGGCGAAGAGATGAAATGTAATTTTGAGGCAGCGAAGTGGGATCTGATTGTGGGTCAGAAGCAGAGAGAAGCTTTTATCTACAAAACTAAGTTGGGTTAGTTCTTTCTTCTTGTTAATAAGTTTATTCGAGTTAACCCTTAATTCCCGTTTGATATGTGAGAGAGTTGTGATGAAAGAACTGGAAAATTCGGGATTAAGTGTTGATAATTTGGAAAATTTTGAAGTTTAAAAACTTGAATTTGTATGCTTATGTATGTGCCTAGTAATTGTCACAGAGCAAGCTATACCACAAATTTGTAGCTTCTATCTTCTACTAAATTTCAACTTTGGTCTCATCCTAATGGCTGTGGAAGGGGATAGAGCAGGTTGTGTTTGAATTATGGATTTAGGTAGACCTTTTGAAAGGAGAAGGAAAGGTGAGAGAAATGTGAATGTAATATAAGCTAAATTTTTTCTCCGTTTTCCTCACCTTTTTCTTTCCATTTCCAAACCCATACCCGAATCTATGATCCAAATACAACCTAAAGCTTATAAAGGTTTGGTGTCCCGAATCTATGATCCAAATACAACCTGAAGCTTATAAAGGTTTGGTGTTCGTGAGGACATGAATTCAAGGGCATTGAGGGCCCACCTCATGTTCTTAGCATTGGATACTGAGTAGGGAACAGGTAGTGTTGTTTGAGTTCTTTTCACATTTTCTTTTTCCTCGCTTGAAGGCTTTCCTGATCTCACCAGGAAATCTTGATATTGCTAGTTTTGTCATTTATGATGCTAGAATGAACGGATTATATGATTTCTGCTGGGATTGAGTGCTACGAGATAGTTGTTATGTGGGCTTAATATTTGGTTTTTTTTCTTCTTCTTCTTTTTGTTGTACATTGAACTATCTTTTTTCGACAAATGCAGATAATGCAGCCAGTGAATTGGCAGATTTTAGAGTATGGTTTGGCCACCTCTCTCATAACTGCTGTGAGACAAAAGTATGTACCATTTCGTCATGTCAGTGTATTTTGTGAATTTCCTTTTTTGAAAAGAGTTCTCAGTTGTCAATGCATTTGCAGAATGATTCCGAGATGTTGGCTCTATTGTCAGAGAGGAACTTTGTTTGGAACCAGTATAAAAAGAGGGAGAGTGACCTTACCAGTCGGTTGAAGATTAAAAGTACTGAAGTTGAACATGCAAATGAGAAAATACAGGAACTTCTCACTACTATGGAGCAATTAAAGTCATCAAATGTTGAGAAGGATATTGCGATACTAAAATTGAAAACTGACATGGCTGAGCTTGAAGCAGCCTCAACAAAAAAGAGTGACGAAATTTCTAGACTTTCCAACAAACTGGAATTGTTAAGAAAGGCTGGAAGCAATTCTGATGGAACAGAGGGGGACAAGAACAGAGGCACTTATTCAAGGAATACCATTCTGAAAAAAGAATCACATCCTTCACAAGTACTTCAAAAGGTAATTGAGACATATCCATTGTGTAGCTTCAATTAATTAGTTCTCTTGCATTGTAGGTGATTTTAGCCCATCAGTGATAGTATGGTCATTGTCTTTTTTTAATTTATGTGATGATTTTCTGCTTATACTATTTAAATCATCATTTTTCTCCTTTTTATTCAAACATTCTGCAGAACTTTTTCGTCCAGAAAATTCACAGAATAATGATTGATTTATTTTTGTTAGATTGTTGTTTGTTGATTTTTTAAAATTTATTTTTTCCATCGGGGGGATGTGCAGTATCTTGGATCATTATATCATGTGGAAATAACAGAGTTAGGTCTGAGATTTGAACATTACTTTGAAAACAAGAGTATGGAGCAGTGTCACTCTTTAAAATTCAATAAGTACCCACTGATTGAGTTGCGTAGCGTTACTTTAGTCATGGAATGCACATTATAAACGGTTTACCCCATCCAACAGATCCTAGTTCTAGAGCATGACAGAAGGTGTCAATTGAAAATCAAAGCCAAACCAGTCTACATTCTTTTCTTTGGTTAATGACATAATATATATATATATATATATATGCTGATGTTATTTCTAGCATAAGCAAGAAAGAATATGAATAGGCACCTGTCGATGCATTATGTTATGGTTACACTGGCTTATTAAAATTAAAATTTTGATCTTCTATAGGGATGCAGGAGTTCAAAGAGAAAATCAGTTGACACCATTCTCATTTCGGAGACTCCAAAATTGTTCAAGTCCACGTTCAAGGTTCCAAAATTGAAAAACTCGTCTCCTTGTGTGATTTGACATCTCTATCCATTGTTTTCTACCTACTATTTAATTGGGCAGCTATAGATGTGTATATTTAGTTGAGTTTCAAGACCGGTTGATTCTATTCTTCTTCATTTTGTGTTATTTATGTTGTTGATTAAGATTAGGAATCAATCTTTTTTAATGTACCCTATGTTGGTCAGTAAAGGCTGTTTGTTATTTTGGATCTGCTTACTTCTTGGCTTTTGATTCAGACTTGTCTAAAAAAATTGAAGAATTCATCTCCTTGTGAAAAATAATGAATGTTTTCATATGATTCACAAAAAAATGCAATGGAAGACTCGGATTAAACCTAATATGGAGGGATCCGCATTCAGAATAATCCTTCGTTTATTGTTACACTTTATGTGATCATTTTGTTGTTTAATTATGTGCTCTTAGCATTGGTGATCATTTTGTAGATTTTGAAACGCTAGATTTTCAATCCTCATTTTATGGTATATTGATGCTCTTTTTCAAACCCTAGATTTTCAGTCCTCATTTTATGGTATATTGATGCTCTTTTTCAAACCCTAGATTTTCAGTCCTCTTTCTCTTTCTCATTGCAATTGAGATAGAGAAGGGGCTGGAGAAGGTGGGAGTAGATTTGGCGGTGGCAAGTTTGGGTAGAAGACGGGTGTCATTAAGGGAAGGGAGTTAAGAAAGAAAAGAAGAAGAGAGAGAAAAGAGGACGAGAGAGAGGTTGGGGTGTTGTTAGAAGACGGTAGTTATTATTTGACTTCCCACCCTCATTGTATTTTTTTTTTTTTCTACTTATTTGAAGTTATTTCACCACCTTCTCATTTTCTTCATATTTCCGTATTTATGTATATTAAGGTCCCTATTTTAATTATGTTGCCTTTAGGGCAACTCCAATGTTACTATTCATTTTTTACTAACTAAAGTAGTAAAAATGTATGCTTTTTTATTTTACTTAAATAATTTTTCATTTATGTGCTCCAACCATATTCTTTTATTTTACATATTTATCCACAAACTAGTTTAAAGAAACTCCTGATGCTCTCAAAATGTAGCTAGCATGCAAGCAGGCCCGGTTTTGAGGGCAAGCCCATAAAGCAGCCACTTTGAGCCTCTCAAAAAAGGCTGAAAATAGGGCCCCAAAAAATATATAGTCTTATACTTGTCTATTTAAAAAAGGCCCAACTTAAAATTACAGCTGAAAGTAGTAAATGAATAAAAAGTCCAATCTAAACTAAATGAATAAAAGGCCCAATTTAAAATATAAATTCATAAAAAAGGTCCACTTAAAATACAAAACCCAAATTAAATTAAAATGTCCAAAAAACTTTAGGCCTAATCCAAATTTTTTTAAACCTTAAATGCGAAAATAATTTGAGGCCTAACAATCTATTATTGTTGTTCCTTATTCCTTTGGTGCGTTGCCTCTTTCGGCCAACAACTTTTGACTCTCCACTGTCAATTCCCGGCATTCGCCGGCAGCTGCCCTTCTTACCACCAGAGCGAACACTAAAAGCCCCATATTGAGTGTTCGCTTTGAGTTCCAAAAAATTGAGAGCTAACACTGCATGTAAGAATTTTGTTAAAATAATTATCGTACTAACTAACTCGTTGAAGTAAATAAAATAATATGAAATTAATTATAATAACTAACAAACCTATTTTAAAGAGCCTCTTAAAAATGCATTTACAACAATATTGTAATTTTTTATATAATAAAATTAAGTTCTCTCTACAAAAAATGTAAATAAATAAATAAATAGATGTGACCGTGCTCAGGCGTGTGCGTTTTTGTGAAATGCTGATTTCCTATTATTTTTCCTCCCCCGCATTTCCTTGCCACTGCAGGCGCACTTTACTCCATTTATCTATGCAAGTAGAAAAAAAAGTGGTACTATATACACTAAAGGAGTGTGTTAATTAAATTATTAACATTAGTTATGATATTATTATTAATTTTATTTATTATTTAAATTATATATTTTATAATTATAATAAAAAATTTATATAGGAAAAAAAAATTTATAATGAAATGATAGTGATATTTTTAAAATTATAAAAACAATGATAAATTGTATTTTGATTAAAAATGAAATAACCAAAAGAAGTTATATTATTCTATATATAATTTGTATAAAATTCTATCACAAAAATTACCCAAAAAAAAAAAGAAAAAAAAATCAGGGTCTGAACCATATAACAAAATAAACTTTTAATTTTTAATTTTATCAATTTAAACTCTAAACTTTTGATTTATTTTCAATCTAAACTACATGTCTGTTTTTATTAAACATTCTATATATAATTTGTATAAAATTCTATCACAAAATTACCCAAAAAAAAAAAGAAAAAAAAATCAGGGTTTGAATCATATAACAAAATAAACTTTTAATTTTTAATTTTATCAATTTAAACTCTAAAATTTTGATTTATTTTCAATCTAAACTATTTGTCTGTTTTTATTAAACAAAACAGACGAAAAAAATTATATTTAGTCATTAAACTTAATGTAAGTGTATAGAAAATATCTAAAATATAATTTTCATCGAATTTAATAATAATAAATATATATTTTTTCATTTATTTTACTTAACAAAAATAGGTAAATTGTTTAGATAGAAAGCAAATAAAAAATTTATGGTTTAAATTGACAAAATTAAAATTTAGAGTTTATTTTGTTACAAGGTTCAAACTCTAAGTTTTTTTTATTTGTAATATTCTCAATTCTATTTGTATATTATTACTCTCAAATAAAAATTGGAGATTATTACATTATGTTTGATTAGGATGCAATAAAAAAATTTAACACTGGTTGATTCTATTCTTCTTCATTTTGTGTTATTTATATTGTCAATTAAGCTTAGGAATCATTTTTTTAATGTACTCTATGTTGGTCACTAAAGGCTATTTGTGGTTTTGGATCTGCTTACTTCTTGGCTTCTCATTCAGACTTTTCTAAAATTGAAGAATTCATCTCCTTGTGAACAATAATGAATGTTTTTCATATGATTCACAAAACAATGCAATGAAAGACTGGGATCAAACCTGTTAGAATAGTAGAGAGAGAGAAAATAATATGAATTGTATTGAATAATGTGTATTGAATATATTCTATACAATAAAATGCATGTATATATAGGTTAAGAAAGAGTATCCTATTAGAAACCTAATTATGAGAAAGAGTATCCTACTAGAAACCTAACTATGGCTATTCCTAAATATATCTAGGAAATCAATACCTAGTATATTTAGGAATACCACATATACATTAACATCCCCCCTCAAACTCAAGAAGGATAAACATCTTGAGTTTGGAGAGAGAAATTAAAACATGAAATAAAACTAAATAAAATAAAAAACAAATAGATTGCAAAGTCTGAACGGGAGTGCAATGGCACTTGAGATATATCAGAGGCCGGAGCTAATGCTGAGAGACAGTTTAAGGTCATGCCGGACCGTTCTAGGAGCTGTCCGGAACTAATGCCGGGACAGTTTAAGGTCATGTTGGACCATTATAGAAGCTAATCGGAATCAATGTCGGGACAGTTTAAAGAAGTCGTGTCGGATCGATGTAGGAGCTAACCGGAATCAATGTCGGGACAGTTTAAAGGGATCATGTCGGACCGATGTAGAGAATTGGATATTGAACCAACAGGCATGGCACACACATAACTAATGACGTGGTGTTGAACGATGATGACAATAGATAACTGAGTGCGCCAGGGGGCGACTTGGATTGTGCACCAAAGGGGGCCGCTTGGGTTGTGCATCAAGGAGACGGCTTAGAGAGTGCGCCAAAAAGAGGCGGCTTAGGTGGTGCGCCAAGGGACGACTTGGGTGGTGCGCCAAAAGAGGCGTCTTAAGTTGTGTACCACAGGGGATGGCTTAGGTGGTTTGCATGGTGTATAACCATATTTACAATGATATAGGTATAATACCCCCTCTCAAACTCAAATAGGTTTGAAGATAGAAACTAATTTGAGGTTGAAGCAGAGGAAAAGATAGAGTGGAGGAAAGAAGGAAAAAAAAAATGTATTATGAGTAAAAAAAAATAAAAATATGATAGAGATATTTGGGGTAGAAATAAATCATCGGATAGAGGAAGAGATCACCATGAAGCGATACTGAAAGGAAAACATGACAGCGGAATAGGTTAAGGTCCAGCGGGCGGCCAAGGCGAGGCTGTCGCCCGCCGGTGAAGCAAAAATACTAGGTTCTTAACTTAGCTCTGATACCATGTTAGAATAGTAGAGAGAGAGAAAATAATATGAATTGTATTGAATAATGTGTATTGAATGTATTCTATACAATAAAAGGCCTGTATATATAGGCTGAGAAAGAGTATCCTATTAAAAACCTAATTATGAGAAAGAGTATCCTACTAGAAACCTAACTATGGCTATTCCTAAATATGTCTAAGAAATCAATACCTAGTATATTTAGGAATACCACATATACATTAACAAAACCTAATTATGGATGGATCCATATCCAAAATAATCCTTAGTTTATTATTGCATTTTATGTGGTCATTTTATAATTTATTATGTGTTCTTTGCATTAGTGATCATTTTGTAGATTTTCGAACTTTTATATTTTCAATCCTCATTTTATTGTATCTATGCTTTTTTTCAAGCCCTAGATTTTCAATCCTCTTTGTCTTTCTCGTTGCGATCTCTTTCAAGAAGGTGGTTGAGGTGGGAGAAGAGCCAGGGGTGTGCAATTGAGGTGAAGGGGGTGGTAAGGGATCGTGGAGAAAAGGCCGGAGAAGGTGGGAGTAGCGTTGATAGTGACAAAGTTAGGTAGAAGATGAGTGTCACTAAGGACCTGTTTGTTTTCAGAGGTAGAATAGAGGGGATTCATAGTGAGAGGATTAAGTAAAATCGTGTTTGTTTTTATGATAGTTGTTAGTGTAGGAATTGTTAAATTATTTTTATGTAAAATAATAAAACAAATAAAAATATAAAAAAAATAAAACATTAATGTTTAAAAAAAAATTCCCAATATGTAAAAAATAAAAAAAAAATCTAATTCCCTCACTATTTTTCTAATACCACCTCTACCTCCTCCATCCCAATCCTCCCTCCAACATCCATCTTAATCTCCTTCATCCTAATCCCTTTTCCAACTCTACAAACAAACACAACACTAAATAACTTCACTTCTATCCTAATCTCCTTTCATCCATTACATCCCAAAATAAACGGGGTGTAAAG